CTACCAGAAGTAATAATAATAATAATAGTAATAATACAAATAAATAATAATAATAATAATAACAAAGAGCCACCTTAAGATGGACTTCTTGGAAATCTCCCGAGGCCCAGGAGTCCTCTTATCCCACATCCCTGAGTTGTTACCCAGCCTTGTAATAGGGTGCGGTCTGCCCCCGGCCTCGCGGCCTCATGTGCCGCCCCAGCCCTCCATCGGAGCAACCCCCTGCAGCCGGTGGCTCCCGGGCTGGGCTGAACACTGCCCACCCAGGCTGGTATGGCCTTGAGGGAGTCGGCTGTGAGTCCTTGCGCAGGAAGCGGCCCCCATCCCCTGGGGAGCTGTCGGGGTGCACAGCTCCGAGGGCGGAGTGGGCTCACCCGGCTGAGCGCCTGGGGCTGGTGCAGCAGAGGCAGGAGGCGCTCATCCCCAGCTCCAAACGGCGAGTCCCCTCTGCCTCCTGACCCTGTCTTTGGGGTCTCAAACCATTGCCCCCTGCCCCCTAGCCCTTGCCGGACCCTCAGCGCAGGGCTCCAGCACAAGCCTCAGCCTGGCCTCGTCGGCTTCGTGCAACTCCCCCCGGCCGGTGTGAACTTCTTGCTCTGCGACCTCCCTCCTCACGCCTCTCTGCTTTCTAGCAAATCTGTGTCCACTTGGCCGACGTGGCCATTAATACGCAACAGCAGACTCATTTGTCAAAAGCCAATTTGTCAGGTGAGCGTGTCACCCGATTACTGGAGATCTTCTGAAGTGTTAGCATTGCCCTACACCTGCCCCAGCTCCGTCTCTAACCCTAGAGACTGTCAGGGAAAATGTTTTCCTCCGAACGGGAGGCGATCAGCAGAGCCACGGTCAAAGGCGGGAGCAGAAGCAGAAGCAGATCACTTCGCTGTGGAAAGGGGACCCTGCTCTCTGGCCGTGGGAGATTTGTTAGGACGAGCTCAGCTAATGCAAATACGGCACTTTCAACAGTCTGGTGGGCGATATCCAGGCCCCAGCGCACGTTGGCTGTGACTGCTATCATGGCAACTGTTGCTTTGAATCTTACACGTGCATTTAAATTGTAGGAATTAAAAAAATAATAATAAAAAAATAAAAAAAATTGTAGGAATTAATGAAAAATGAAAATAAGAATTGAAATAGGAACGCTGGGATCGCGAGGGCTGACCCTCTGGTCTCGTCATTCACCTGGGAAGAGGAGAAAGGCTGCAGACAGAGTGTAATCACCGACGGCCAACGACCCCATGAACGCTGTCTACGCAGTGAAGCCTCCATAGAAACACCAAGGAACAGGTTTTGAAAAGCTTCCAGATCGGTGAACACGTGAACACGAAGGGAACAGAAATCACGCAACAGGTGTATTTCTTCAATGTCCTTGGTCAAAGGTAGTTCTTGCAAAACGCTCAACGGCAGGAGGAAGACCCAGCGTTGCGACAGTTTGCTGTATCTTGGGTGCAGCTTCCTTGGGGTAAGTAGAGGCATCGCTGGCAGCACAGCTCTCTGGGTTATCGCTGCGTGGAGATCGGCTTTCTCAAGACTGGCAGGGCCGCTGCCGGATGCTGTGCGATTCTCAAGTGTTGTATTTCTCCGGCAACCCTCGACTTCTTTGCGAGATAGATACCCCCCCCGCCCCCGTACTCTCGGAAGAGCGAGAAAGACGCATGCAGTGACTGGCGGTGACTCCGCCGGTAGCGTGGGTAGCGAGCCACACCATCGACGTGCGCCTCCCTGACCTCCACTGGCATCCGCGAAATCCAACAGAAGAGATCCCGGTGAGGATCGTAGCTGGAGCGCTGGGTCCCCGTTTTGCATTAATAAATAACCAGCAGTTCAGCAGGTCAGGAAGCTCAGCAGGCGGAGCACGGTGTCGGCTTTTTCCGATCGGGGTTGGTTTTCCATTGAAGGTCACGTCCAGCCTTAAAACAGACCCAGCACTTGATCTTGAGACCACCTGCTTCCTGGAGATCAAGCTCAAGGTCCCACGGGTGCGTGTGATGTCTCCCCAGCCCTGAGCTCACCCAGCTCTTTCCCCGGGCCGACCGCCGGCCTCCTCCACAGCAAGGAATGAGTGACTCCGAAGGGAAATGAGGGTTTTGAATCTGAGCTGAAAATCAGTAATGAAAATAATGCAAGAAGCAGGGGGCGAGTCTAAGCTAGTGCATCGCTAGATGGGCCCCGGCTGCCGAGGAGTCCCGTTCGGACACTTGCTCTGCTCGCGGATCTCCTGCGAGTGTTTTGCAAACAATTCAGACTCCGTGCAACACGCTGAAGACACTCCGGGGCCTTGTACTCAGAAGCTACAAAGCCTTGTCAGGATGGGCCCTTGGAGGGTGCAAACACCCACAGAGCAGAGCCCATATTTACCTTACGACACATCTGAAGGTGAGGGAAGGATGGAGGGTTGTGTCCCCACCTCCTGCCACCAACACTACCCCGCTCACGTGGAGGCCCCAAAGTTTCTACGTGGAACAGGAGGAGGTTCTTCTCCTCTCTCTTAAAGGACTCACCGGCAACACGTGCTTCACACCTGTCCGGGAAGTGCACTCGAGAGCCCGTCTGGGCACCTGGAAAGAGAAGAGTCTCTACGTGGAAAGAAGAGCAGAGAATATGCGAGGGAAGTCAGCAAAGAGGTCTCAGACACTCGGCCCTAAGCGCCCTGGAGCCAGAGAGCCTCTGGGGAGACCCTGAGGCCAGGGTCATCCCCCCGGGGAGGTTTCAGGTCTGGAGTGCACGCCCTGGGATCCTGAACCCACTGCGGGTGGGCCTGCAGCCGCCATGAGGACCCGGGCAGGCGGGCAGCTGGGGCGCCTCCGACTATTGTACCTTGCCACCTCCACGCAGCCACAGCACCTAGTGGTTCCTGCCTGGGCTCGCACCAGTGTTCTTTAAAACAATCTTCAAAAAGTCCTTGGGAGCTTATTTTCATTCATCACCACGTAGAGGTAGCTGCCTGGCAGCAGGGGAGCCCACAGGAAGGTGGGGCTGCATGACCTGACAGGCAGCAGAGGGGCCCCGCTCCCCAGAAGCTTCCGTCCCTGCATCCCGGAAATGGGTGGCATTGCACTTCAGCTGGAGTCTCAGGTTTTGGGTTTTTTTTTTTTTTTAAAGATTTTATTTATTTTTTCATGAGAGACATAGAGAGAGGCAGAGACCCAGGCAGAGGGAGAAGCAGGCTCCCTGCAGGAAGCCCGATGTGGGACTGGATCCCAGAACCCCGGGGTCATGCCCTGGGCCAAAGGCAGACGCTCAACCACTGGGCCACCCGGGCTGCCCTAGAGTCTCAGGCTTAATGACAGTGCCTGCGAGGAGCATCCCAGCAGTGCTGGAGTGGACAGTCACCGCAGGAGGCAGTCACCGTGGGGGGGGTCACTGTGGGTGTGTGTGTGTCACCATGGGGTGGTCACCACAGGGGGTAATCATGGGGGGCAGTCACTATGGGGCGGTCACTGAGAGGGGTCACCATGGGGGCGGTCAGCATGGGGGCAGTCACTGCAGGGGCTCATCACGGGGTTGGTCACCACGGGGTCACTGTGAGGGAGGTCACTGTGGCGGTGGTCACCATGGGGGCAGTCACCGCGGGGTATCACTGTGGGGGGGTCACCACCGGGGGTTACTGCAGTGGGGGGCAGGTCATCATGGGGACGGTCACAGTGGGGGGTCACCGCAGGGGAGTCACCATGGGAGCAGTCACTGTGGGGGGTCACCACAGGGTAGGTCACCACAGAGGTCACTGCGGGGGGTGTCACCGTGGGGTCATCACCGCAGGGGGTCACTGTCGGGGGTCACCATGGGGTTGGTCACTGCAGGGGTCACTGCGGGGGGTGTCACCACGGGGGTCACTATGGGGGTCACCATGGGGGGTCACCATGGGAGCAGTCACTGTGGGGGGTCACCACAGGGTAGGTCACTGCAGGGGTCACCACGGGGGGGGTGTCACCACGGGGGTCACTGTGGGGGTCACCACAGGTGTCACCGTGGAGGAGCACCATGGGGGGGTCACCGTGGGGGCAGTCACTGTGGGGGGGTCACCGCGGGGGTCACTGTGGGGGTCACCATGGGGAGTCACCAGGAGCAGGCCCACAGGGAAGTCCCTTCGCCAGCCCCCACCAGCCGTCAGGCCGCCGACCTCAGGCCACTTTCAGTCCTGCCCCCTGACCCCAGATCCCGGGCCGCCTGCCCTGACCTCGCCCCACATGCCCTGGGCTCTCTGCAGAGCTGTGGTCACACCACACTGTCCCTTGATGACATCCCACACTCCCTGCCCCCCCACGCGTCCCCCACGTGCCCCCCACGCACCCCCCCGCACGCTATCACCCAGCAGCTGCCTGCCTGGAATTGGGGACGAACACAACAGCAGTGTGTCCCTAACGGGCGGAGCCAGCGGGCTGCCTCCAGGCACAGCGCACCCCCAGTGCTCCGGGCCCACCACGTAGACCGCCTTCCTCCGCCACCGTGACTTGGAGAGGAGGGTGCTTTCAACCAGCGCTGCGTCCCAGACTCTTTGACTCAAGGCCCAGGTGCCGCCCTCTCCTGCGTGGAGAGCCACCGCCGAAGCGGAGTCGCAGTGTTCCGTACATGACAGACGTCTCCGAGTCCTCGAACTTGCTCATGACCAAGCTACTACTATCCTAATTTTTTCCAGTAACGTCTTTGGGCTCAGTCTTCCCCATCTGAAAAATGGGTCTACAACGTAGATCCATCTTCTAGGTCTTAAGCACCTGTTATCCTAAGTGAGCGAACACATGATAAACCCTAAGTGGGGAGCACAGAGGATTGTGTTGACTGGGACAGAACAAAAGGAGCAGGTGATAAAGTCTTTTAAAAAGTGCGGGGAGATGCCTGGGTGACTCAGTCGGCTGAACCTCCGCCCTCAGCTCAGGTCATGAGCTCAGGTCCTCAGGGGGTGGTCCGCCCTTGCCTCTCCCGCTGCCCCTCACCCCCCCCCACCCCGCTCTGCTGCTCACGCACAATCTTTCTCTCAGATAAATAAAATCTTAAAAAAAGAAAAAAGGCGTAGGTAGATTTAATATCATCACTAGTCACGAGTTGAGCCAAACTCAGCAGTTTTGCAACCATGTGTAACAATTCTGTTTGCATATTGGAAATAACTGGGAGGTTTTTTTTTTAAAGAAAGAAGTTCTTAGGCTCCACCGCCCCCCAAATCCTGATTCTGTCGACACGGGGGTAGGGAGGGTTTGAGCATCAGAATTGTTTGTGCCCCCGTCTGCACCCTTTGCTCCGTGGGGCCGGCGCCACGGCCACCGGCAGGGGGAGGACAACGGGGCGGAGAAAACAAAGAGGAGAAGGAGTGAGAAAACGGAAGCAGAAAAAGGAGTGAGGGCGGAAACTCGCGCAGGGAAGCCACCCCCCCCCCCACACACACACGGAGACCGCAGATCTCAGCCCCGTGACGCGGCCACCTGCTTGCGGGGTCCGAGTCCGTGCACGGCCGGGATGGGGGGACAGGCGCCTAAGGAGCCCAGGCGACACCTGCTGGGACACCTGCTTCCACTGGTGGCCTCCAGGGTGGAAGGCACCTCGAGAACGTGCACGTGTCTGGGGCCGTTGCTGCTCCACGTCTGCGCTGTGTGTGCCTGAGAGCGACGCCGCAGCACGTATGGGATTCCAGGTGGAGGCACCGCTGGGGAGCCTCTGTCCGGTGTTTTCTACCGCTGGGGTGCAGGTCCGCAGAGCCTGGAGAGCGCCTAACCAGGGCGACGGGCCTCACCAGCCCGCGAGGCTGCGGGGGCGTCCTCCGGTGGCCAGGAACACCCCACAGCTACTCCCTCCTGTGTCTGGTCCCCTTCAAGAGCCAAAGCACTTTCATTGTGATGAAACAGAATAAAAAACCCCCATTACCGTGACTATCGTTCTCTAAAAGCCGCAGCGAGCCTCCAAGGGAGCCCAACACCGTGGGGGGAAGGCGCCGTTCCCGGGCCCACCGCCCCGCAGGGGCTCCCGACACACCTGCCTTTTTTGTTTGTTTCTTTTTTTGTTTTTGTTTTTTAATATACTTCTCTCATCGATTTTGCCTTCATAAATACAAAGTTTATTGTTCGTTTTTGTCTCAGTCTAATAATACGTTTGGGTTTCCAGCCCCCGAGGGTAGGCATCCAGGAGGGGCTGGCGGAGCGGGCTCTGGTCAGCAGGTGCAGCCGCCCAGACCACAGCTCATCAGGTGAGCACAAGAGGGCGAAAGATCGTCTCCGCCCTGCGTCTCAAGGACCCCGCGAGGCCATGTGCCTGGATGAATTGTTCCCCCGAAGCAAAAAAAAACAAAAAACAAAAAATAAGGAGCTAACGCCTCCGTGCAGCCCGCGGCGTCGGCCCTGGGAGAGGGCCTGCCCGATGCCTCCACCGGCCCTGGCCTCCCCGCCGTGGGAGGTTCCGTCTCACCCTCCTGAGACCCCGCGGGGCGACGTGGGCCTTCTGAACAGAGCGGCAGGGGGTCATCGATGTCCCCGCGCGTCCCTGCTCACCCTCACCTTCCTGTAAATTCCACCGATTAATTTTCCTGGGAAATGGGACGTGTCCCTGCAAATGTCTCCTCCCGACTCCCTGGGGAGTCGTTTGCTTCTCAGTCAGGAGGCGGCGCGTTGGGGGGGCCTCCCCTCGGCTCCCGTGGGCCCCTCACGCGTCGGCCTTGGGCTCTTTCATGGATTTGACGAACTCCTTGACTTCCTCCTCCAGGGCCTTGTTCCTCCTCTCCACGTCCTCCCGGGAGCGTTCCACATTGCGGAGGCTGATCTCCAGGGCCGCAAACTTCTTCTTCTCCTTCTCCAGCTCCTCGTTGAGCCTCACCACCTTGGCCCACACATCGTAGTTTTCCTTCTCGAGGCTGCGAGGGAGGACATAAGAGAGTGAGAGAACGGGGCCTCCAGACCCCCACCCCCGGCCTCACCCTTCCTCCCCCACGAGTCCCTTATCCAGCCCGTCCCTGTCATCCGGGCGCCTCCCCCAGGTGCCGACCTCCCAGCCCACCTGCAGCCCCAGGTGCACCAAGCCCCCTTTGCCAGCTAACGCGCCCCCCCCCCCCGTCTTATGCCGTCGGGTTTCTCCTTGTTCTATGGTCTGCATCTTCCACCAGGTAGGGAAGCGCCCGACACGACGTGCTTTCCCTGCAGCCCCTCGCGGGTCCTGCCCAACAGCCTGCTGACGGCCTGCACCCCAGACTTCCCAGCGCACCTCGAGGTCCCACACCTTGGCTCACCCCGCCGGCCTCCACGGCGGGACCAGGCCTTCTCTCCCGAGGCCCCTGGGGGCAGGCGATCCGGAGAAGGGCTGCTCCGGGCGGGTCCCTTGGGCGTCAGAACCCGCAGCACCCGTGCCCCAGCCTGGGTCCCGGGCTGGCCCTGGCTCTGCTCCGCCCTGCCAAGCTGCGCTCGGCCACCACCCAGGAGCGGGGACAATGCCATTTTGATGCCCAGAGAGGGCAATCTCAGGACAGGGGGCGGGGGACCGCATGATGGGACATTTGCTCCAGAATTTCCTTCTGGGGGATGTTGCCTCCCTGCGCCCTCTCCTCGCCCCCAACTGGCCTATTCCTCGTAGAAACCTGAGCCCCCGTTTGAACCCAGCCTGGCCTCTCTCTTCAGCGGCCACGTAAGGGCCCCTCTTTCGAGCCCTGCCGACCCCGCCGGCCCCTGCCCAGGGCTCTCCTCCAAGTTTGCACCTGCTTCCCTCTTGCTCTGGGAGAAGCCTCAACCGAGGGGATGCTGCGGGTTTTGACCACTGATGCTGCAGGAGAGAGAACCTGGGTGGGCCCGGGAGCCTGACGGGGCCAGGTTCAGATCCCAGCCCTACCGAGGATCCGATGGGTTCCCCCGAGGAATCTTCTCTACTCTTCCCAAGCCCCCATCTCTTCTGTAAAACGGGGGTATTATCTGTCTTACAGCATTGCTGTGCGGATTGCACGAGAAGGCGTCTGAACCACGAAGCTCGGAGCGGACACTACGGACTGGTAACCATCCTCCCAGCTGAGGAGGGAGGACCCCTCGGGGGGGGTGAGTTCAGGGGCCTCGGTTCCCCTCAGGAGGAGCGACCCCTCCGTGGCAGCTGGTTCTCTCCCGACCCTGCCAATGGCAGCCACTCGAGAGCGCAGGGGGACACTTCCCTGGGGCTGCCTCTGTCAAGGACAAGACGGCACGCACGCCGGTCGCATCCCGCAGAGGACGGATCTCAGGTTCTTAGACAAAGGATCTACGCTTTGCTTTTAGGCGGGAAACCTCTTACGTAGAGGGCAAAGAATGGGGGCTCCCGGACATCTGCCTTCCACGGCCAGAGCCTTAGTAGACTGGAAAGGTACCCGTAACTCGAATACCTGACTAGTCCACATTTCACGACATCACGATGTGGGTTAGTCCCGGCGAAGCTGGATTGAGCTTTACGCTCAGGAAAAGCCGGTGGTGTGAAAAAGATTTCGAGAAAATAGCTTATCTCCCCATGAGAGCAAACTGGGGCTGTGCACCACCCTATTTAACACAGGAACCCCTTCTTGAGCCTTCCAGCCTCCTGCCCTGCTTTATTTTTCTCCATAGCATGTTCCTCCCTCTGACAGCATATATTTTAATTACTTATATATATATATATTGCCTGTCTCTTCCTGATAGATGGAAAGTGCTATAAGCACAGGGACCTGTCTGCTTTGTTCAGCGCTACTCCCCCGCAGCAGGCACGGGGGGTGCCCAATAAACAGTACGGGAGGTACTCAATAAATATTTTCAGAGTGGATGAATCATGTTAATATATATAAAAAAAACCCTAAATTTCCTCTTAGTTTTTAGAGCATGTCAATCCACAAAGAACCAGGATATGAAAATAGTTGCTTAGGCTGTGTAAGCTGCATACTTAAACTTTTCATGAATTTAACCTAAAAATGAGAGCTTTCACCAATGTAGTCATCTCAGCATTCCCTTTACCCCTCTCCTTAATTAAGCCCAACTGCTGTAGATTAACGTTTTCTCTAAACTTGAGGCTGTTTAATATCATTTCTTTGGCAGAGGAGAAACATCCCCGTCGCTTCCGCAGGTGGAAGCCCAGTGGCTGCCCAAGGCCCCCTCCGCAAGTGACTTACTTTTCGATCTGTTCCTCGTACTTTTGCTTCTGTGTTTCTATTTCCTTTCGCAGCTCCTGGACCACCGTCTGCAAGGATTCAAGTTCCTCCTCGCCAGAGTTCTTTTTCTCAGGCCTAGTTTCAGAGCTGGGGCTGGCAACAGTTTCTCTCTTGGAGTCACAAGCAGGGGAAGAGGCCGCGGCTGCCTCTTCCCCGGTGGGCCCCGGCGGGGTGGGGACGTTATCGTAGGTGGAAGTCCGCTGGGCGTCGGGATAGTGAGGCACACCTTGAGACAGCGTTCTCCTGTGCCCGTCCCCTGCCTTTACGTCTGAAGGTGACCAGAACTCATTTTTAAAGATCTCCACTTTGCCGCTGTTGGCACCTTGAAACGCTGACGTCAAGAAGCATTTCCGATTAGGGAGCGTCTGAGTCCTTTTTCGTGACTGCAGCTTCCAATCTCCTAGCTTTTCCCTGGGGGCTTTACTGCTCTCTTCCAGACACCCATCGCTCGGCTGTTGTCCAGTGGGGCTAGTGGCATCCGAGTTGCTGGTCTAGAAGGAAATGGCCATGGACGTCACATGAGTTTTCCCCGTGTGTATCACATTCCCAAGATAAGGATTAGCAACTTGAAAGCAAGCATCTTCTGACTGCACACCCATGAAACTCTTAATTGAGTAGACCATCTCTTAATTAATCACATTATTGATGATCTGCTTAGTGTTTTTCAAAAGGATATTACACGTGAAGAGAACTAGCTCATGCTCTAGAAATCAATTGTTATTCGTGGTAAGAGTCTTAAACGAGGATTCTTTCATAGCTTTAGGATAAGGAGGCCTTTCTAACTAGAACTCAAAAATCCAAAAGCCATAAAGTATAAGTCTGACAATTTCAACCTACATGGGTGTCCAGGACCCCTCAAATTAAAAAGAACAAACGTAAAACAAGGAAAACGGCATATATAAAATCAAAAAAGAAATGACAAACTAGCAAAAATATTTGCAAACATATCACAGACAACAAGTTACTCTCTGCTAGACGAAGTTTATAAAAATTGAGAAGAAAAGGACCAACAACCAACAAAAATATGGACAAAGGATAAGATCAAACAGTTCATAGAGGAAAAGAAAAATGCAACAAGCCCTTACACATAAGAAAAGATGTTCAGCTTCTCTCACTGACAAAGAAACCCAAATCAAAATTAAAATCATTGAAATATCAGGGCAACTGGGTGGGTCAGTTGGTTAAGTGTCACACTCTTGATTTCAGCTGAGGTCATGATCTCAGGGTCATGAGATTGAGCCCTGCATTGGGCTCCAACCCAGATTAAGATTCTCTTTCCCTCTCCCTCTGCCCTCCCCCCCCCCCGCCCACCTCCTCTTGCATACACACTCATGTGCTCACTCACTCTCTCTTTAAAAAAGAAAAAAAAAGGTGAAATATCAATTTTCACCTATCTGATAAGACACTGCCCCAAATTTGAAAACACATTTTGCTAGTGAAACTGTAAGGAAGCAGGTCTTTTTGTGCATTGTTGGTGGAAGTACAAAATGGCACAACTTCTGTTTGATGATTTTAATAAAAACTATACACAAATCTACTTACCAAACTCAGATACCCCAGCATCCCAATTCTGGGAATTTATCCCAGAAATATATCTACCTGTGTATAAAATGAAGCATGGTCAAGGTTATTCATTGCAGCCTTGCTTGCGGTACAAAGGAATGAAAACAACCTGGTCAGATGAGAGGCCTGTCCATGTATTGACCTAAAAAGGTCTTCAGGACACACTCTTAAATGGAAAAATGCAAGATAAAGAGTAGTGTGTGCATATGTGTGTGTAGAGAAAGAACAAGAGAATATCTTATTTGCATTTAAAAAAGAAGTAAATAATTTACATTCACATCTGTTTATATTTGCATAAAAGAACACTGGGAGGATAAGTAAGAAACTAATAAAGGCAGGTAATGGATGGAGATAGAAGAGGGAGCAGGAGTTTTCAATGTATGTCTTTTTCTCTTTTTGATTTTTTTTGAAAGGTGCATATGTATTTTTAAATTAAGTTAAAACATGAAAAAAAGAAAGAAAAAAAAAAAAGAATGAGCCCTAAAATCAGAAAATCAAGGCTCAAGCTCTCCTTCTAACTACGCTAGCTAAACACTTGCTTCCACAACCCCTCCTGGAGTCAGAAGCACCCAGGCCTTGAGGTGAGAACTAGAGCTAAATCCCATTCTGTAACCTCCTAGCATCCTGCTGCTACCTTAGGCCAGCTGGTCAATCTCCCTGAGACTCTGCTCCTGAAAGATAACATGTGGGTGACAAATGCTACCCTACCGAGTTATGGTGAGAACCCCAGAGGAGACCTTTCTAAGTTTCCCAGCACAGTGCCTGCCCATAGCTGCCCACACTATTACAATAAATAGCAGAAACCTGTCAAATAAGCATAATGACATCCACCCTCAAGGGCCACTAATAAGATTTCATTATATGAAGTATGAACATTTCTAAATATTAATTTGAGAGTGTTGGTAAAATGCATTGTGAACAGACGTCACCTAAGAAAAAACAAAACCACTACCACTACCTACCTTTTCTTCAAGACTTTTTTTTTTCTTTTTTTTTCTTTTTTCAAGACTTTCCTAATTGTCCTCAGGATTAATAGTACTATAGACAACTTACATTACCGGGTCAACCAGAAATGTTAAATTCAACTCTTGGTTACAAATAAAGAATTAAGCTGCTACATGAAGTTCATGTTTTTTTAAAAAAATATTTGTCTCTATAAATATATAAAAATATTTGAGTTTTGTATATTATTGGCCTCAACAAGTCTACATTTCAGAGGCTGCAGAGTTTTTTGACATTGGGAACGTGAGCCCCAACCCTTCAGTACAAAGGAGGGGTGACATTGCTGAGACAGCTTATCAGGGAATGAGAAATATTACATGAACACATCACATACTCTGAGAAAGAAATCACGTTTCATGGGTTAGCGGAAACCAGTTCTCTCTGGACTTTCACCCGGAATTTTCAACAACTCTTGCTAAAATGCTTATAATGTGATATATAATTTCCCCTATTGACCTTCCCTGGACAGTATTTCCCTTTTACAGTGAGCTTTAGTACAGATTCCCGTTACTCAGTCATTAGGAGACTGGCACACATGTCACTGACCTCACCTCTAGGATGCCAACAGAGACTGGATTTTGAAAGAGGCCAGACTTCCAAGATGCATTCAAATGGGTCTGTACCATCTGTGCCCACTGTCATGGCGTCATCTAAAACTCCCCAAGCTGCCACCCTAGACCAACTCTTACGTGGAATGACTTGGACTAAAGGAAGAGTCAGAGGGAAGGAAGAATTTTCTCTGCACCTTACCGTGTTACTGAAGCTATCTGCCCTAGAAATTGGAGGGTCTTCAGTGGCATCCCAGCCCACAGAACTTCGAGCTACTGGAGGTTTCTTAGGGTCATTTTTCTGAGCAGGGGGTGAGAGGGGTACATCCTTGGACTTTGGGAAAAGAACTTCATGGTCTCTGATCATCATGGTCATCACTCTTTGGATCTGAGGAGTCCCTGAAAGGTGAAAGAAGAAAGAGATCTGTCGAGCTGGACCATGGCAAGAGGCAGGCAGTCCTCAGGGTCTCCACCCATGGGATGTCTCTAAACTTGGGTCTAAGACCACAGGGCCCAAAAGGACCTCATTTTGCTCTTCATGGGACCCTTCCAAATTGCTTGAGATAGGAGATCGTGGTGGAAGAGAAGGGATAGAAGAAGGATATGAGAGTGGGGTGTAAGAGGGTTATTTTCAGCCTATACAGTCCTGTGCATCAGTCTTTGATCAGAAAATAGGTAACATAATATTTCTCTCCCCTGATGTGGTCCTTAATATGACATTTGTTCTCTTGCTGCACGGATAGTACATACATGCCAGATGCACTGCCTTCCAAATCCATGGCAGACATCAATACTCTCTGCTAAGACTTCTGCACAGAGAACCAAGGTGCAGCCACAGAAGTCTTTTCAACACAACTTCACAAGTGGTCTTTCTGTGAGTTGTCTTATAAAATCAAACTTGCTTTCTCTACTTTCTTGCAAACTGTTTTCTCTGGTTAAGGTTATTTAAAAGTCATAAGAGACAAAGAAATACTAGCTGTGGTTGTGCTAGCCCTGTTGTACTGTGTACAGAGAGGTCAATTTTTAACCTCTCTGCTCTGCTGTGATCTGGAAAATGGATTTAATTCCTGCTCTGCTCCTTTCACAGGGCTATTTCACAGTTGGGGCAAGTAATCAACTGAAAATGCTTGGCAAATTGCAGAGCACTTTGGTAGCTAGATAATTGTTGTCACTTCCTCCACCCCTGCCTTCCACACAGGACCAGCTATACCTCTCATGATCACAGCAGGGTCTTCGACCTTTGACCGGATGAGATTCACACCAATCACGGTAGCCAGGTTATCCACGCTCATCTTATTAACAGCACAGTTCAGCTGGATTTCATGTAGGAACCTGTGGACAGCCAGGAAATCCCGTAGTAGGAAATAGGAAATTGCCAGAAGGAAGCTTCCGGGTACCAATGAGATCTCAGAGATGGATCCCATCTCTTCCCTTCTAGTCTCAAGAATAAGACTAGTCTGCTTGGCCCATATGAGTTTAGCTTCACCCTGGAAGATTCAAGATCAAGGCAGAAGAGAAACCAAGAGGAGCCTACCCGGCTGCTGGGGTGGTGTAGGGGATTGGGGTGGGCACCCTGTGGGCAGGAGGTAAGATCCGGCTCAGGGAGCTAAGAGGAAACTAGAAGGACTCAAATAAGTATGTGACTACCACTCATCCCAACCTTATAGGCTTATCTCCCAGGCTTTCGGCATCCATCCCACCCACGTTTCCACAGATGAAAACTTTATCATGAGGAGATGTCACAGAGGGAAATCCAGTGCCTCTTTGCTCTCATCCTCCAATTACAGCACCAAGCATCTCAAATTTTCAGTGGATGCTCAACAACTAGCAATGAATTTTTACTATAATTCCACCCATTGGAGGCATGAAGCTCTCAGTTTCCCTATAAAAAAATGAAACTAAAAATATCAGCAAAGGAATTTGTAAATACCTCTCCAAAAAACACTTTTAAATGGATATGCTGAGGAGAGGGAGGCAAGATGGTAGAAGATTAGGGGTCCTCATTTCATCTCATCCCCCCAAATTTAGCTAGATAATCTTTCAAACCATCCTGAATACTTATGAATTCAACCTGAGATGTAAAGAAAGAACAGGTGGAACAAATAGAAAAGTGACCATTTCTTGCAAGCCACTCTGCACTGGACAAAATGACTAGAAGGACAAATTCACCACAAAAGAAAGAACCAGAAGCAATACTCTCTGCCATAGATCTAATGGAAATGGATTTAAGTAAAATGTCGGAGATAGAATTCAAGATTACACTTTTAAAATTACTCGTGGCTCTTGAAAAAAAGAATAAAAGACTCTAACGATTCTCTTACTGCAGAAATAGGATCTAATCAGGCTGAAATTAAAAATACTTTAACTGAGATGCAGTCTAAACTGGATCTCTAACATCCAGGGTAAATGAGGCAGAGAGAGTGAGTGCTATAGAGGACAAGTTGATGCAAAGGAAGGAAGCTGAGGAAAGAGAGAAAAACAACTAAGAGCCCACAAGGAGACTCCGAGAATTAAGTGATAGTTTGAGAAGGAATAATATCCATCTTATTGGGGTTCCATGGGATATGGAGAGAGAGAGAGGACCAGAAAGTATGTTTGAACAAATCATAGCTGAGAACTTCCCTAATCTGGAGAAGGAAACAGGCATTGATACCCAAGAGATAGGAACCCCCACTCCAAAATCAGTAAAAACTGATCAACACCCCAACATATTGTGAAGCTTGCAAATTTCAGAGATAAAGAGAAAATCCTAAAAGCAGCCAAAGACAAGAGATTCCTAACTTATATAGGGAGAAATATCAGATTAACAGCAGACCTCTCCACAGAGACCTGGCAGGCCAGAAAGAGATGGCATGATATATTTGGGGTACTAAATGAGAAAAACATGCAGCCAAGAATACTTCATCCCGCAACGCTCTCATTCAGAATAGGAGGAGAGAGACGCTGGGTGACTCAGTGGTTGAGCATCTGCCTTTAGCTCAGGTCCTGATCCCGGGGTTCTGGGATCAAGTCCCACATCAGGCTCCCCGCAGGGAGCCTGCTTCTCCCTAAGCCTGTGTCTCTGCTTCTCTCTCTGTGTCTCTAATGAATAAATAAATAAAATCTTAAAAAAAAAGAATAGAAGGAGAGATAAAGAGCTTCCAGAATAGACAGAAACTGAAAGAACATGTGACCACCAAAGCAGATTTGCCAGAAATATTAAGGGGGACCCTGTAAGCAAAGAGGAGCCCAAAGAAACAATCTGCAGAAACAAGAACTGTATAGATATTAGGATGACACTAAATTCCTCTCTTTCAATAGTTACTCTGAACGTGAATGGGCTGAGTGATCCAGTCAAAAGACGCAGGGTATCAGACTGGATGAAAAAGCAAGACCCATCTAAATGCTGTCTACAAGAGACTCATCTTAGACCTAGGGACACCTTCAGACTGAAAATGAGGGTGTAGAGAATCATTTACCATGTGAATGGTCCTCAAAAAAAAAGCTGGGGTAGGAATCCTCAAATCAGATAAATTAGTGTTAAACCAAAGACTATACTAAGAGATGAAGAGGGACACTATATCATACTTAAAGGGTCTATCCAACAAGAAGACCTAACAGTCATGAATATTTATGCCCCTAATGTGGGAGCAGCCAATTATATCAACCAATTAATAACCAAGTAAAGAGACACATAGATAATAATACATTAACAGTAGGAGACTTCAACACTGAACTCTCAGCCAAGGACAGATCTTCTAAGCACAACATCACCAAACAAACAAGGGCTTTTAATGATATGCTGGACCAGATGGATTTCACAGCTATATATGGAACTTTCCATCCTAATGCAACAGAATACACATTCTTCTCAAGTGCACGTGGAATTTTCTCCAGAATAGAGCACATACTGGGTCACAAATCAGGTCTCCACTGATACCAAAAGACTGGGATCATTTCCTGCATATTTTCAGACCACAATGCTTTGAAACTAGAACTCAATCACAGGAAGAAATTTGGAAGGAATGTCTTTGGAGGTTAAAGAGCATCCTACTAAAAAAATCAATGAGTCAACCAGGACATTAGAGAAGAATTAAAAAGACTCATGCAAACTAATGAAAACGAAAGCAGAACTGTTCCAAATCTTTGGGATACAGCAAAGGCAATCCTAAGAGGGAAATACGTTTCAATACAAGCCTCCTTCAAAAAATTGGAAAAAAATCTCAAATATACAAGCTAACCTTACACCTAAAGGAAATGGAGAAAGAACAGCAAGTAAAACCTAAACCAAGCAGGAGAAGAGAAATAATAAATATTAGAGCAGAACTCAATGAAATAGAGACCAGAAGAACTATAGAACAGATCAACAAAACCAGGAGCTGGTTCTTAGAAAGAATTAATTAGATAGATAAACCCCTAGCCAGCTTTACTAAAAAGGAAAGAGAAAAGATTTAAATTAGTAAATCATGAATGAAAGAGGAGAGATCACAACCAATACCAAGAAAATACAAACGATTTTAAAAATGTATTATGAGCAACTATATGCCAACAAATTAGGCAATCTGGAAGAAATGGAGGCATTCCTGGAAAACCTACAAATTACCAAAACTGAAACAGAAGAAATAGAAAACCTGAACAGGCCAATAACCAGGGAGGAAATTGAAGCAGTCGTCAAAAACCTCCCAAGAAACAAAAGTCCAGGGCCAGATGGCTTCCCAGGGGAATTCTATCAAACATTTAAAGAAGAGATAATACCTATTCTACTAAAGCTGCTTCAAAGGATAGAAATGGAAGGAAAACTTCCAAACTTGTTTTATGAGGCCAGCATCACTTTGATCTCAAACCCAGACAAAGATCCCACCAAAAAGGAGAATAATAGGCCAATATCCCTGATGAACATGGATGCAAACATTTCTCACCAACATACTAGCCAGTAGGATCCAATGGTATATTAAGAGGATTATTCACCATGACCAAGTGGGCTTTATCCCTGGGATGCAAGGGTGGTTCAACACTTGTAAAACAATCAACATGATAGATCATATTAATAAAAGACATCTCAACAGATGCAGAGAAAGCATTTGACAAAATACAGCATCCTTCAAAGTGTAGAGGGAACATATCTCAATATCATAAAAGCCATTTACAAAAAGCCCACAGCAAATATCATTCTCATGGGGAAGCACTGGGAGCCTTTCCCCTAAGATCAGGAACATGACAGGGATGTCCACTCTCACCACTGCTATCCAACATAGTACCGGAAGCCCTAGCTTCAGCAATCAGACAACAAAAAGAAATAAAAGGAATTCAAATTGGCAAAGAAGTCAAACTCTCCCTCTTCACAGATGACATGATACTGTACCTAGAAAACCCAAAAGCCTCCACCCCAAGATTGCTAGAACTCATACAGCAATTTGGCAGTGCGGCAGGATACAAAATCAATGCCCAGAAGTCAGTGGCATTTCTATACACTAACAATGAGACTGAAGAAAGAGAAATTAAGGAGTCAATCCATTTACAATTGCACCCAAAAGCATAAGATACCTAGGAATAACCTAACCAAAGGGGTAAAGGATCTATACTCTAAAAACCACAGAACACTTCTGAAAGAAATTAAGGAAGACTCAAAGAGATGGAAAAATATTCCATGCTCATGGATTGGAAGAATTAATATTGTTAAAATGTCAATGCTACCCTGGGCAATGTATATATTCAATGCAATTGCTATCAAAATACCATGGACTTTCTTCACAGAGTTGGAACAAATAATCCTAAGATTTGTATGGAGCCAAAAAAGTTTCCAAATGGCCAAATGAATGTTGAAAAAGAAAACCAAAGCTGGTGGTATCACAATTATGGACTTTAAGCTCTTACAAAGCTGTGATCATCAAGACAGTGTGGTCCTGGCACAACAACAGATACACGGATCAATGGAACAGAAGAGAGAACTTGAAATGGGCCCCCAACTCTATGGTCAACTAATCTTCAACAAAGCAGGAAAGACGATCCACTGGAAAAAAGACACGTCTCTTCAACAAATGGTGCTGGGAAAATTGGACAGCCACACACAGAAGAATGGAACCGGACCATTCTCTTACACCAGACACAAAGCTACACTCAAAATGGATGAAAGATCTAAATGTGAGACAAGAATCCATCAAAATCCTAGAGGACAACACAGGCCACAACTTCTTTGGCCTTGGTCACAGCGACTTCTTGCTAGACATGTCTATGAAGGCAAAGGAAACAAAAGCAAAACTGAACTATTGGGACTTCATCAAGATAAAAAGCTCCTGCACAGCAAAGGAAATGGTCAATAAAACTAAAAGACAACCTACAGGATGGGAGAAGGTATTTGCAAAGGACACATCAGATAAAAGGGCTGGTATCCAAGATGTATAAAGAACTTATCAAACTCTACACCCAAAGAACAAGTAATCCAGTCAAGACATGGGCAGAAGACATGAACAGGCATTTCACCAAAGAAGACATAGACGTGGCCAACAGACACATGAGAAAATGCTCTGCATCACTTGCCATCAGGGAAATACAGATCAAAACCACCACGAGATCCCACTTCACACCAGTGAGAATGGCTAAAATTAGCACAGGAAACAACAAAGGTTGGTGAGGATGTGGAGAAAGGGGAACCTCTTATACTGTGGGTAGGAACGCAAGCTGGCGCAGCCACTCTGAAAAATAGGGTCGAAGTTCCTTAAGAAGTTAAAAATAGAGCTGCATTACGACCCAGCAATTGCACTGCTGGAGATTTACCCCGAATATACAGATGCAGTGAAACGCCGGGACACCTGCACCCCAGTGTTCACAGCAGCAGTGTCCACGATAGCCAGACTGTGGGTCAATCTACATGCTCCATGTCACTACAGAGATTGCACACAGCAGGTCCCCAGAAAGGGAAATAAGTGGCCTGAAATGAATGTCTCTAAGGCACTAAGTTATGGCCCAGAGCCAGGAAGATGGGAGATCATTCTAGAAACATTTTAAGGATTCTGGGTGTTACTGCATGTCCCGGGACTCCAGGCAGCACTGCGACAGCTCTGAAGGAAGACGCATGTCCACTTTGTGAGCCGATCAGACTTTCAGTGGGTCTTTTTCATTATGTTGTGGATAAAGGGAACTGCTTTGGCGCCGCGGGAATACAGTTGACCTTCCCAAGGTCTGCAGCAGAAGCTCTGATTTTACAGAGATGTTCTTTCCTCCTCTAACCAGGGGCTTCTTTCTGATACAGTCGGCTGGAAACTGATGCCAGGGGATTCTTACCTGCACAGGTAGCTCAGGAGGCTGTAGTTGTCTCGAGGAAGGAGGGACAGCTGCTTCACCAACTCCTGCTGCGCCTGGGAAGAGATTTTAACACCGTAAACAAGCCTGCTCCCTCGCCAGCCAGGAGCCTCTGGAACACAGGGAACAAAACTGGCGGGTCCCTGCAGAGGGAACACCGGCAGTCATTCCTGTTCCCGTAGCTTGTGTGTGTGTGTGTGTGTGTGTGTGTGCATATGTGTGTTTTAAGATTTTATTATTTTATTTAACAGAGAGAGAGCACAAGCAGGGGGAGCTGCAGAGGGAGAGCGAGAAGCAGAGTCCCCGCTGGGCAGGGAGCCCAATGGGGGGCTCGATTCCAGGACCCCGAGATCATGACTCAAGCCTAAGGCAGACATTGAACCAGCTGAGCCCCAGTTTTTGTGTTTTTTAAAAAGCTTTTTACTTTGAAATAATTATAAAATCCGAGGAAACTGAAAAAAAAAAAAAAACCCAGCATGTAAGAGGCACACAGGTTGCTTTGTTTTGTTTTTTAGCATATTTTTTTCATTGTCTCGAATCACACCCTCTTCCCCAGCTCAGAGCTACTCTAAAGCCAGGACAATTCTATGACTCATACAATAATTGTTTGCTCAGTGAATGCTTGCGATGTAACACTGCAGTAAAGAACCGGATCATCACCAAACACCCCAAGTCATTTTAAAAGTATTGAGAAAAGAAAAAAAAAATCAGTATTGAGAGAAGGAAGCTTCTGAGAAGGGTTTTAAGCAATGTGGCCTTGCTGAGACCTGCTGGCACACAGGACAGGCTGACTAATCTGGGGGAGGGGAGCAGGTAAAGGTCAGAATGTTCTAGATCCATGAGACTGTCATACAAAGAATGCATGTGCCGGCGGGGGTTGGCGGGGGAGGTATGAGAGGTCGTCTGGAACGCGGATTTTTTTAGTCAACTTTTAAACCTTATTCCATAAAATGTTATTATTTTCACAAAGGTACGCTGATATGCCCGAATAAGACTTTTCATGTCCTCTTCTCACCCCTGATCAAAAACAAATAAATAAATAAACCATAAATCATGCACAGAATCACGCACACAGCTGCTAATTCTCAAGTGGCTCAGGGTATTTGGTTCTAGTCTGTTCTTTATTGGATCGTTACATCCCAGGAAGGCTGTCACCATGTTGCTGAGGAAGGTCTATAGGAGATCATGCAACCTAACTTTTTTTTTAAAAGATTTTATTTATTTATTCATGAGAGACACAGAGAGAAAGAGAGAGAGAGAGAGGCAGAGACACAGGCAGAGGGAGAAGCAGGCTCCATGCAGGGAGCCCAACACGGGACTCGATCCCGGGACCCCGGGGTCTCACCCTGGGCCAAAGGCAGGCGCTAAACTGCTGAGCCACCCGGGGATCCCAGCAACCTAACTCTTGTGCCAGAAAAGAGCTAAACTGGCTCCAGCCTGTTAGCCGCAGCACTATCACCCCGTTCATTTCCGAATGTTGAAATGCAAAATCAGGATCCCCTTAAATCATGAGGCTTTTCATCCTGAGTCAGGAAAGAAGTTCTCATAGCTGTGCTTTCTACCAGGTTGAGGGGACTGTTGCTCTGTTGTTTAAAAATTATGACTATCATATATATATATATATATATATATATATATATATATATATATATATATGTTATGTTGTATAATCCCAGAAAATAATATATATTATTGTCATTATTTGTTATTTTCTAGGGGTATACTACATAAGAAATTCTAAATAGAGAATAAATCTCTCCCTAAACCAATAATTAAAGATAAAAATATTATTAATTTTTAAATTAAAAATAATTTAAAAACATCACTCACCTACCTCATATCCTTTGTCCTCAAAACTATCCTAAGTATAGCAGATGTTATGCTAAAGCTTGTCTCAGTTTGTGCTGTCTGGACAACAGCTACTTGACACAAGTGACTATTTTAAGTATTTGAAAAAATAAAATGAAATCAGGAATTTGGTTCTTTAGTTGAACCAGCCACGTTTCAAGCACCCAATGACCATGTGTGGGTTAGTTGTCACCATATTGACCAATGACACCACCTACCCGTGCACCACGATAGAATGCTGTGTTGCTCTGAATAAATAAACTCTCATAGAAAATGCTTAATTTGCCTAATGGCAAAATCAAAGTTAAATCCAGGTCTTCACTGGAGGCTTTCCCAAGTACCACTTCGCCAAAAAGAGCTTTAACCCAGTATTGCTAAGAACTAACATCCCAGAACTGGGGAGTGAGACCCCAATTATTAGCAACATAATAAAAATGTATCCTTTGGGCATTTGGTTTTGCGAATCCTGGTTAAAATTCATGAACGTCTTATTGTTGTTAGATGGGTTTTCCTCGTTTCTTTCATTGGTTGGTTTGTTTAATTAACATGACTCCAGTGCAGTGAGTGTGGACTGTAAGACCTTCCAGGAAACGATTTACATAAGGTCACAAATCCCGCAGGCGAACTCGTGCGCTCTGACGAGCAAGCTGCCGCGGATGCCGGCCATAGCCCTGTAAGCAAAGGGAAAGCTCCTTGTCCTTCCCTTCTCCAGCACACGCCTTCCTTGTATGGCCGTGCTGACACCCGTGGAACTAGAACGTCCTCACCTCTCACCCGACTTCCAGGCTGGTCGGCGCATCCTTGTGTCGCACTGGGCCTCGGCAAGGCCATACTGCTCGGAACCTTGCTCAGCAGCTTCCTCTTTTTCTTGTTAGAGTGGCTTGAGTGTGTTCATTATAGTCCATCTGCACTGGATTGTCATATCCCAGCAAGGCTGTCCCTATGCTTGGCCTCAATTGCCTTTTGTTCCTGACAAAGTTCCAATGTGACAAAGTATCCCACTAAAAGGTGTAGTCCCCTGACCTACTGTTGCTCGCCCACCAGAATCATGTTCAATAACCATCACCTTCTTCCAAAGCAGGACAACTAACTCTAATGAGATACAAACCTTTGCCTCATCCGCGTTCATGAGCTGCCCACATAGCAGGAACCCCTCGTACTGGCTCCAGGGAACCACTGGCTCTGGGAGGTCTCGGAGGTAGAGCTTTAACAGGGAGGCCACTGTGTGCACATCCGTATCTCTGCAAAAAAATAAGCAATGTCCTTTGAAAGTGAAACTCCAGAACATTCCTCACCTCTCCCTTGGTGATGCACTGAACAGAATCCTAGGTTCCAAAAGGGAGTTTTGCAAAGGGGAGAGTCTGATAAAGATGTATTCAAACAAAACATCTTTGCTAATCTTCTTGGGAATAATGATTCCCAACACCTTTTCCTTTATCTCTTCCACCCACCTCAAAGGTAAGTTCAAGATCTACCTTTCCATTAATCCTATTAAGTTATTTTTATCTTCACCTCTTTCTTTTTTCTCCAAGTCACCTTTTTTGCATTCTCTACTTAGTCTCTAATTTTTCTCCAAGTCACCTTTTTTGCATTCTCTACTTAGTCTCTAATTTTTCCTGTGATTTTTCCTCCATTTATATCCATGGCCCATGATCTCTTTAAACTCTCCGAGAGCTTAAAACATTTCTGGGATTCATTCATCTATTTGCACGATCATGCACTCGGTCAGTAAGTATTGAGAGAACCTACTAGGTTCAAGATTCTAGGTCAACCACTGGGATTTCAGCAGTGAACCTGAGGGATACACATGACACTTGGCCTGATGGGCCACAGAGCCATGCAGACTCAAACATTACCAAGTCATTACAATATTGTGACGTTAGTAGCACAACAAGGAAGTCCAGGGCCTGGGGATGTATGGAAGTATGAAAAAGGGGTACCCAGTGCAGAGTTGGGGAGCGAGATGGGACGAGATTGGAAGAGTGGCAAGGAGTTACAGCATGGGGAAGGGAGCACATGTACCAACCCGGAGGGTGGGGAGCAGAGACCCTGCTGTAGAAAGAGAGGCAGCATTCAGATGACTGCCTGTTCACTGAAGGAGTCTTGGGTTTTTCAGTTCAGCCTCTCCAGTTTACCGCAGGAATGGGCAAACCATGACCCAGGAGTCGAATCTGGCCCACTGCCTGTATCTGCACAGCCCCTGAGCTAAGAATGAGTTTCATGTTTTCAAATGGTTGGGAACAAAAGTCAAAAGAAGCCTATTTCATGGCCTGGGGAAATGATGTGAAATTTGATTTCAGCACCCATACGGTGTTCCCAGAATACCATCATGCGCATGCATTTTTGGATCATCTCTGGCCAATTTTGCGCTGTAACTCTGCTAAGAGCAGAGCAGAGTAGCTGCAGCAGAAACCATCTGGCCTGCAGAGCCTCGATGTTTCACACGCAGCCCTTGATCAAAGTCTGCTGACTGCTTGTTCATAGAGCTAATGCATTTGTTCTGCAGCTCTAGAAGAGAAAATAAGTCTGGATCTACCGTATGTTTGAGGTTCATTAGTGAAGCGATTATTTACTTCATATTTATTTACCTCATATAAAAAAATGGTGTTCTTAAGCAACTGTCCTGGTTGTATTTTGAAAAGCTATGATGCGGTAGGAGGTTTGGACAGCTACGGTGTGTCCTGGGTTTCAGTGATGGGGAATGTAGAATGGGCCACATAGAAGTGGCTCCCGAAGAAGGGACAGGAGGGGTCGGTTTGGCCAGAAGGAGAAGAGAAGAATGGAGGGAGAAGCAAGAGCATCAGGACTTGACTGTGAACTTCTGTCTTGACATCCTGGGTAAGCTTTGTCGTTGGCTTTAGACAGCCCATGTTCGGAGCTGTCTTCTGAAACGGGGCCCCCTTTGCAGCCTGTGGGCTTCTCTTCCTCAGAAGGAGAACTCGAGCTGGCATGGAGCCCTGACCGTGCTCCACTGCTGCCGCAGGAAATTGGGGCTGGGAACCATTCACTTAAGGTGGGGATTCTGGAAAAGCCTTCTCTGCTGAGTCACTGCTTAAAAATATTCCTGGGCGAAGCCCTCTTTTTAAAATACATGAGATGTTCCCAAGAAAATGGCGGAAGGACAGCCAGCTGACAACTTTGCAGGGGGTGGGCATTCCCCTAAAGTCCCAGAGTGGCTTCTCCTCAAGCCCCAGCATTGCAATCCTCTCTATGGTTTTAGTCAGAATCCAGGGCCTCTCCCTCACCCTGCCTCCAATTATGCTCCCCAAGCCCCTCAATTCTATCCGAATGTCATGTGAATTGCTCTAAGTCCCACCCCCCACCCCCCCAAACACTGCCCTGTTTCAGAAGGCAAGGCCTTTTGCCAAGATCCCGCCCCAGCTTCCTATGTGGCCTCCTGCCTCCACGCGGTTGGTTCCATTCTCTGACCTTCCGTCCACTGCCTGGCACAGCGCCCAACACAAAAAATAGACCCAAGCAACGAATGTCGCAAACAACAATTTGAAGTAAGAAAATATAGATAACACATTTTTTTTAAAAAAAGAATCTTTTAAAGATAAATGACAATAACAAAACCCACAAATGACTAGATAGTTCAATCAGAAGAAACTACAATAGCAAAAATATCCAACATTAGAAAAAAAGAAAGGGCTGTAACCACTGATGTAGGGTAGCTGCTTCAAAGCTATAACCAAAGAACGCAATTATCTTGGAACATTTAATACCAGAGGAAGCTTCCCGATTCATTTTATCAGGGGAAGACAATGCTGCTTGTCCTGGCTAACTCCTCGTGCCTGCTTAATGTGTCTGGGTGAAGTGTCATTTCTTCTTGGAGCTCTCCCTAAATCCACTAGAATATGTCAAAAGGCTCCTGTTCTGGGACACCAATGTGTATTGGGGTGGGGGGGGATGTGCACAAGGATGGTGCAATCCATCAAGCGTCCCACTCTTGGTTTTGGCTCAGGTCATGATCTCAGGGTTGTGAGATCGAGCCCTGGGTTGGGCTCAATGTGGGGTCTGCTTAAGATTGTCTCTCCCTCTGCCCCTTCCCCCACTCTCTTTCTCTCTAATAAATAAATATATTTTTTTTTGAAAAGGCTCCAGTTCCACGTTCTCATGGTACCATCTAGTTTTCAACTTGAGCACCTAACACAATAGAAATTATACAATTATTTCTATAAATCTCTGGTTTAATGTCTGTGCCCCCGTTGCAACAGGGCCAGAGCAGTTGCCACTGTTAGAGTCTAAATTTCCAGCATGATTTTTCCTGAGTTTGCTATTCCTTCACCCCAATGAAATATCTTTAAATGGCTTTTCTTAAGTCAAGGACTAAGGGCAACTCAGGCGCCAGGTTAACTCCTGAGTTCAACACCTGAGATTAGCCCAGGCACCACGAGTGGCTCTCCCTGGTAGCCCTGGCCTTCAGATGTGGCACATCTGCATGTTTCTCACAGAAATATAGGCATCAGAGGTGTATTCGTTCTGTGGCCAGATAGTGTCCAGCTCAGCAGAAACTTAACAAAGAGATTTTAACTTTTATATGCAAATGTTTAATGAGAATCAGATATAGCTGCGCTAGAATCTGCCAAACAATAGCTCCTTTGCCTCTCTTCATTCCAGTGGGACGATCTGGGGCATCTCAAACCACACATATGACAAGTGTAGGGGATCTAGATGAGCATCCACAAGGATTACATAGACCCCAAAATTAGCCCTGGGAGGACTCTCAAGAGTCCGGGGTGACCCTTCCTATTTCAAGGTGTGCAAACTCTACATCTTGGTTCTGGGGGTGGAGAGGTCATGACGAGCTAAGTTTCCTTCTTTCAGCCCCAAATATTTCACAGGAATCAAAGACTGTGACTCTGCCACCCAGGCTGACATTATAGGTACATACAAAATCAAGCCCAGGACAAGTGTGTGACGAACGCCTGCAATCCTGGCTCACTGTTCACATTGCTTTAGCAATAACCCACCTGTATCTTTTTGATCAACTCAAAGCTAATGAAGAACGGAAGAAAACTGGATACAAAGGAGGCGAGCTTCGGTGAACAGGTGCCTGATGATGAATCGCAATTTATAGTGCTGCTGAGGGCTCTGTACACTTGGTGCCCACAACCCGCCATATATTTATTTGCATATAAATGTTAACCCAGTAGCAACCACACCTGTTGCTTCCCTGTAAAAGTACGGCACCCTTGGTAAGTCAACCTGCTGCACGCCGACGGCGGCAAAGCCAGTCAATGGTGGTCCAAGCTCAGGCCGTGGCTGTGAGACCCGAGAGAGCAGGTGGCATCAGACATGCTGCAGAGGGAGAACGGCCATCGCCGGTGGCTGGGGTGGACGGTGGGGAGGGGGAGCTCATGGCACTTCATGATTTTCCCAGGATTAGCCCCGTTCCTAGGTCCTTTTAAATAACCTCGTGGAGAATTGCAACCTTTGGGAAGCAGATAGGGTTTAGGCCTGTCTCACCAAATCTTGATTTATGGGCTGCTGATTTGGAAAGAACAATGGCTCTTTCTTGCCAGTGGGACAAGCACACGCAGGCAACCAGGGCAAATATTGCACAAGAGGCAGAGACTGTCCAATGTCGGGGTGGAGGCGGTACTAGCTGACAGTGGTAGGGCTGACAACCTCGGCGGGGCAGCCGGGAGGTGGGGGGCAGGTAGGCCATGATGAGAAGAATTGTCACTACGGCTGCTGTGCCCCCCCCACCTGGGCAACCTCCATGGGGGACACAGGGGAGGATGGCAGCTGCCACGGCATCACGTACTTGCTCTGAAGAGGCTCAGAACTGAGTTCCCAGGTGGACACCACTGTGTCTCTCAAACCAAACAGAAGCCCTGGCTCTGGCCATTTTTGGAAAGCCGAGCCCTCGGGCACAGACATGGCACAGGGCTTTGAGCGAGCTCCCGTCTTCCCCCCTCCCGCCTCGGCACCTCCCCAACATCCCCTGACTGCCCGGCAAGGCCCGGCTTCGGGTTCACAGCATCGCTCACTTAAGTGGTCGGTACAACAGAAGGCTCTCTCGTTGCCAGTGGGGCTCTGGGGGCATCTGTGGGTCCCCCAGCTCAGCTGGTAGAGGGAGGGCTCCAAGCCCACTGGGGCCGGGGACGGCGGGCCCAGGGCCGTGTACCTGTCAAAGGAGGGCCGCTCCCCAGCATCAAAAGCATCTCTGAGTTGCTTCACCAGGTTGTCCTGCCCAGGGAGCCGGAAGATGCCCTCTTCATGTAGGCCGTGCTGGAGGATGAACTCTGCACACTTCTCCACGAGGATGGGCACCAGGTGGGGGCCGAATTTCTGCTCATAGGCCACCGTCTCATCCAAACGCTGGCCAAACACAGCTGGGAAGAGAAAAATAGGACCCGCTCATCGCTCTGCCTTCCGTTGGATGAACTGAAAGGTCAAATGCTGCGCCTCTAGCTAGACTCGTCCATGTTACCTGTAACCCCAAAAGTTTTAGTGCGATGGTGCTAAACAAAATATAGGGGACGAGGTGCCTGTGACGTTTCCTAAAACGTCTAAATGTGGAGCGTTCTCTGTCACTCTTTTTCTCTTGACCCACATTTTTACTCGGCTAAGATAACAATTTGCTTTCACTGAGTATCTGTTGTGTGCTAGGAATCGTGCTGAGCGTTGCGCACGCTGTTCTCATTTCACCCTAACGGCAACCCCACAAGGTAGTAGAACTGTCATACTCACCACTCGCTGAGCCTCAGAGGCACTACCGGACTGCCAAGGTCAGGCGCCGGGGCATGGTGGTCAGAATTCAAGCCCGGGCAGTGAGCTCACCAGAATGTGCTCTTGACCACGGCAGCAAGTAGGCAGTTTTGAATTTTGCTTGTGTCATAGAGCATCGGAAAATAACAGACCATCCCAGGGACGTCTCATACTGTATTAAATTGCGGCGCTTTGCAGAATTTAGATTTTCTTCTATGTTTTACTATTTTTATTTTTCTTTAAGATTTATTTATTTATTTGGGAGAGAGATGGAGAGAGAGAGGAGTGGGAGGTGGGGGGAGGAGCAGAGGGAGAGGGAGAGTCCTCAAGCAGACTCCCTGCTGAGCACAGGCCTGACCCGGGGCTCCATTCCAGGACCCCGGATCATGACCTGAGCCTAAATCCAGGGTCAGTCACCACCCAGGCGTCTCAAATGTTCTACTATTTTTAAAATTGCCACAGTGAACGTGCTTATCCACCTAGGAGGGTTCCTGGAACGTATTCAGTGCAATGTATAATTTCTAATTAATTGCTTAATTAATTAATTAACGTTTGGATGAGTGAACGTAGGCTTTTCACCCTTTTGAACTATTTCCTTAGGGCAAATTCCCACAGGTAGAATTACTGGGTCAAGTGGTTTGAACATTTTTATGACTCAGTGGTATGCAAACTGTTGTCCAGAAACATTTTTCCAAATGACATCGCCTCCAGCAAAGCATGTGTGGACCAGCTCTAACTCAGCCCTGCCGGGCCTGGCCCCGTGATCCACACCCCCGCCCTGCCCCGGGGTAACAAGGTTAGTGGTTAAAGCAGGACGGTTGTTGGCTCCCCGCCCTCCCCCCAGAGCCCCATGCCCTTGGACTCCTGCAGGCTCAGAAGACAGGCCTCGGCCTTCAGCTCTGTCCTGCGCCTCCACCTCCGTCACACTTCGGAGCCCGATACCCCGACCCACTCAATTCCCAGGGCAGCGCTCCCCGAAGCCCTTTGGTTTTCCGCATGGTTCTCCCTCTGGCTGGTCCCGGGCCCAGCCTCTCTAGTGTGAACCCGCGTGCTCTCACTGCCCCCAGCCAGGCAGCGGGGTCCCTTCTCTGCTGTGCTCGGGTGCTCCTGAGGCTCCCCTTTCTAAATCGGCTCCAAGTTACCTGAGCACACTGCTCCCCACAGCCCCCCCCCCGTTTGTAACATCATTCCCATCTTCCCCAGGTGTCACAGTAGCATTTTCCAAATTACCCCTCAAAGTCCATCATCCCAGCAGGTGAGCCAAGGAGGGAGACGGGGTGGCCCCTGTGCTCCCCACTCCCCACCAGGCCTGCTGGGCAGCCGTCTGCTTGATGCACCGCATCTCAGTGAGACTGTTTGGTTAAATACTTCTGACAACGTTTGAAAGTTGGGGCTGGCTTGGTGGGTTGGCAGTTGGTCTGGCCCCCACCCCCCTCTCCTGTCTGACTTCAGGTCACGTCCCCAAAGGCACCTCACTCCGCTGTTTCCCAAACCCACAGAGCTCTCCAGTCATCGTTATGCCCTTGCATGGTCTTCTCATCGCCCGGTCTGTTCACCTCTCTTTCCGTATCTGCTGGACTTGTATTTGTCTTCCTTGGCCTGGCTCTAATGTCATCACAGACATTATCCATGTCATTATCTACGTCATGATGACATTATCCATGTCATCACCTCTGACAAGCTTTCCTTGACCCCCACTTGGGAGATCCTGTCCCTTCCTTCTCAAATATCCCCATCCCTTTTGACACTGTACAGGATTATTCGTAGGTACCCACACCTTCTGCATGACTAGGCTCCCTGGTGCCGGAAATACGGGGATGCCCTCTTTTCATCCCCAGGATGCAGCACCGGGCCTGGCACAAGGTCGATAGTATGTTTTGCCGAATGACTTAAGAGTTATTTCATCTTTAAGCAGGTGCTTTCCATGATTGATGACAACTGTGGCATTTCTAGCTTAAACACTAGTGAGATCTCCTCGGTGAAGGATTCAGCTTCACACGAACATTTCCTGAGTGCCAGCGGCAGGCCACGTGGAATGGGTAATGAAGACAAGAGAACATAGGACACAAGCCTTGTTGTCAATAAATTTACTCTAGTTATACGAAAATGAAATGAGGGCAGCCCAGGTGGCTCAGCGGTTTAGTGCCTCCCTTCGGCCCAGGGCCTGATCCTGGAGACCCGGGATCGACTCCCACGTCGATCTCCCAGTGCCTGGGTCTCTGCCTCTCTCTCTCTCTCTGTCTCTCATGAATGAATAAATAAAATATTAAAAAAAAAAGAAAATGAGATGAGCGCCTGCAATATGGTGGGAAACTGTTAGAAAATGTCAATGGCAGGATAGACCCTGGTTTCACATAAGCCTGTGAAATTTGCTAGATAGACATTTGGAAGAAAATGATTGAAATGATCTGACTTCAAACATAGACCACATGTGTGGCGTGTGAGGAGCACCTCAAAGGGAGAGGCAGACGTGTTTCAGAGCAGCTGAAACTCAGGCTCAAGGGGCTGCCTGGACTCTGAGAGGCAACTGCCTCCCAGACACAACCTGGGGTGTTCATGGTGACATCAGAGCTGCCAAACGGGAGCTCCATTCCTGGGGTCCCAAGGCAGATGCTCCATTTTGCAGGTGGCCTGGAATCCAGCTCCTCCGTACAACCCACTGGGTAACAAGTCCTGTAGTTTTTCTCCCCATCCCAGCCTCCCAGCCTCATCCTATGCTCATCCTCTATCCCTCACAGACCCCACAGCCAGTCCTTGCGATGCCACTGTCACCGGTAAACCCACTTCCCAAGCCTCCTGTCTCCTCCAGCACCTCTGCTCTGCTGACTCCCGGTACCCTCCCCAGGCCTTCGTCTGGTCACCCAGAGCTCCCAGGGAGCACAGTATTCCATATCATGGAAGGTTATATTCCCAAACTTGGTAAAACCTTCATTCCAAACCCTCCCCCTCTGCCTTGCCTTCACCACCCTTCCTCCCTTCTGTCTCAGTGGATGACCGTGTCTCCTCTTTTCCTTCTCTCCCTAAGAGGAGGGCACCATGAATTAACACCCTCATTCCCCGTCCCTGCATTTCTGGCTCCTCTGTCTATCTTCTCGCAGAGGAAGGACCCTGTGCTTTCCTCTAAGATGTTGCTTTTCCCGCCTGTGTGTCCCATCCGTTTGCACCTCTTTCAGGACTTCACTGGATCTCTTTTCTATCTTAAATTTCTCTTTTTCCAGTCGGAGGAGCCCAAGTGAGTCTAAGTCTGCCAATTTACTGAACAATAACTTCCTACCCCAGCCCTCAGACAACCACTAGTTGCCTTCCTTCTCCTCATCAGTAGACTCGTAAAGGAACATGTCTGCTTCCATCCTCACAGGCTCTACTTCTTCCCTTATTGACCTCTCAACCCATCCCAGGCCCAGTCTGCTTTCATGAGCCCGCATCTTTCCACCCAATCCACTCAATAAAGTTTCCAGTGCCCTCCTAATGGCCAGACACGGCCTATGTCCATTCCACACCTTGTTGGTCTTCCCTGAAGACTCTTGATGCTGCTGATTCTCCTTCCTCTTCAAGACTTTCTCCCTACGTCATGACAAAACCATCTGCTCTCATTCAGGTCCCATCTCCTTGCTGGCTTCTCTGGAATCTCCTTTACTGTGCTCCTTCCTCCACCTGCGCCTTTAGTATGTCACCTCCTGGCATTCCAACGTAGCTGTCTCCACCCTCTAGACATTTTCTTTGACAAAGGTCCTATGATTCTGTACATTTGGTATCACCTACAAATGGGTAACTTGTAAATCCACCTGTCTGGTCCAGATTGATCAATCGTGAGCGGATCGATCCACTCACGTGGTGGATCTCTCCATCCATCCATCCATCCATCCATCCATCCATCCATCCAACCTTTCTCATCCAACATCTAGTGGCAGTTCTCCCAGTGTCTTCTCCAATCTCACTCTTGTCTCCTCCCCCATACTCCCAAATCACACTTATCCCGTAGCCTTCTTCCCAGGCAACAGCATTCAGTCACTCAAGCAGTCAAACGTCAGGCACTTTCCTAGGCTTGGAGAATACAAAGCAATCAACGCAAGGTCCCTGCGCTCACCGAACCGCATTAGCAAAAGTGTGCGTGTCAGGATCCTCTGCAACACCCTCTCGTTCCCTCCAAACAGATCAACACTTTCTAAATTAAACCATCTCTCTTCTCTGTCGAAATTATCGTGATGGTTTCTTTTGCGCCTCTGTTTCCGTAAACTTCTTCCCCTGGAATTCACAAAATCATTCAGCAAATACGAACTGAGCATGTGCTGGGGGCCAGCCTCTTTGGTAGCTGGAGATTACGATTAAAAGAATGAAAAAACAACAACGACAACAGCGGTCTTTGCTTTTGAACACGCTGGAGCTCATACCCTTCCTCCCTCTCCCCGCCTGGACACCTGATGTTCCTGCAGCAGGAGCTTCAACCGTTTTCTCATCAGACGGAACCCGTGGGTCCCTGCAGATGCTGTCTCCTGCCACTTCCCACGTAACTTAGTTTTAAACGTGTCTCTCTTCTCCTGGACTGACTGCGGGCTCCTCCAAGGCAGACAGCCCACCCGGCTCACCATCTATTTGTATTGCCTGGCACAGAGCCTGGCACGCG